CCTGTGAATTTTTGTCTTGATGGACCACAATTACCCAGGACTTTTTACAGCTAAACTGGCCAACTTGGGGCTCCTTTGAAATCCCCAAGTTAATTTATCTGTCCTGTCAATTAGAAGAAGACTATAGGTTGGGGGGAATGGAGACAACTGTACTTGAACAATAATAAAAATATTCAAAAGAAAAAAAAAGAAAGACTATAAAACTAAGCAGTGACCCAATCTCAGCCCCTAATGGAAGCACCTATGCTACTGGCTGAAGCAATTGGAGTTTTAAAAGATAACACTATAGAAGCAGATCATTTAGCTGTTTGACAAAATAGAAAGAAAATTGTGAGAACAAGGCTATAAACTTGACTTTAAAAGAAACCTATGGGTAGGTCCCAAAGACCAACCACTCCTCTCTGATTGCATACAGCATCACATAGTACAATATGTACATGGCTTAACTCACTGGAATGCTGATAAAATGGTTTTATGGGGGACAGCAATACTACTGGAAGCCATTTCTATAGATAGCTTCCCAGGCAGACCCCAAACATCAAATCTTCCCAAAGCACAACCCTGGAAAGCCCTTTCATCATAACTCTACTGGGCATTTTCCCTTGTCATTAGGACCCTTTAAGGTTTGGCAAATGGACTTTATTCAGTTGCCCCCTTCTCAAGGGCGCAGATATGTGTTAGTAATGATTGGTATGTTTTCTCATTTCGTGGAAGCATTCGCATGCGGCAGAGCCACGCCTCAGCCATAAGTTCCTCGGGAAACCCCCTCAGAGCTCCTTAGTGACTGGAGAACTGATTTCCACCAGACAAGTTGTACAGTCTGTTAAGATCTGGCTGACTTTACATTTCTATTGTGTTTATCATCCCCCAGTTCTCTGGTCTTGTAAAAGAGACTAATAGGTAATCAAAATTCAATTGGCAAAATCCATGAAGTCTTTTAATCCTCTTTGGTCTAAAGCCCTTCCCTTGGTATTGCCCAACCTAGGATCTGCTCCCTTTGGCAAGCATAGATTGTCTCCTTTTGAAATTATTACTTGGAGACACGTGAGATTAGATCAAGTTATGTATGAACCTGCACTGCTGAAAGGAGACCTCCTGTTTACTGCAAAACAAAACAAAACAAAACAAAACCGTAAGGGCTCTTATGACTCCTATTTGTAGAGTAATCTCTCCATGGCTTGTTCCTGGGAGGCAAAGATCTGCAAATCATGATCTCTAACCTGGAGATTATATCTATTGGAAATGCCATCTCCATAAAAATACCCTTTAGTCCTAAGGGAAAGGGCCATAGAAGGTATTGTTAACTACCCCTCGTGTTGCTAAACTTAAAGGTATTGACTCACAGATTTGTGTTTCTCATTTAAAAAAGGACACCCACACCTGAGTGGTCATCTCAGCCTCATGAAGATCTTAAGCTGAAAATCTCTGAACAACCCAAGATCACCATTAGAATTTTTATCCTCAGATTGAAGCAGAAGGCACCTGATGTAGATGGTTCTCCCAAGACCTTGGGCCAGGACAGTCCATCCTATATGATTCCACACAGCAATACTTGCACTGTTCTTCCATTTGAACACCTTTGTTTCATTTACTGATTGTGTTGCTATCATCACCCCCTTTTTTTTTTGCCTGAACAAAACTCTTTGAGAAAAATGTTCTTCCTTTTCCTAGCTCATGAGTCTGACTTCAAGATGAACATGCTCAGATTCTTATGTCTGCTTACTGCAATGACTGTTCTCACGGTCCTTTAACACCCTTTCGCGCCTGCTATCCAATGATTACCCAACAGTACTAATTTAACTGCCTGTTGGATATGCAACCGAGCTAACAATACCCACGATGAACTAGAATTTGTGGCTTGGCCCTTAAGCCTTGAAAGCTTACAAAACCTAGCTAGACATAACTCCAGGTTTAAAGTCCTTTCTAATTTTCAAACCTCAAAAAATGTGGATGGAACGTTCAGTTTTCCTGTAGCCAGATCCACTCATAAGGTCCCTCAGCTCCTCAAGGAATACCCATAAGTACAGTCTGGATTCTTACTGATTATCTGCCTATTTGTTTTGAAAATATAATGGTTCAGGTATACTTTTGGGTTTTTGTCCCTTTAAAAATATGTAACTACATTCTTTTGTATGACTCAAACAACTGTGAGTTCACAACCCCATAGACTTTAAGCAATCATGGTATTACTCCTTATAGTGGCTTTCTAGTGCTGGAAAAATGCAAAGAATAATGTCACTCACTTTTGGACTTTTTCAAAACTGAACTTTGAACTTGGATAAACCAAATGGCTATATCCCAATACAGTTACTGGAAGTGGCTTTGCATCATTAAACTCCCTATTAAAAAGTAAATTCTTTGTCCTGGCTGGTGTGGCTTAATGGATTGAGTGCTACCCTGTGAACCAAAGGGTTGCTGGTTTTATTCCCAGTCAGGGCACATGCCTTGGTTGGTGGCCAGGTCAGATCACCAGTAGGGGGCATGTAAGAGGCAACCACACATCCATGTTTCTCTCCCTCTCTTTGTCCCTCCCTTCCCCTCTGTCTAAAATGAAATCTTAAAAAAATAAATTTTTAACCTAGAAATGGACATGAACAATAAATATGGATTGCACAGTATATGTTGGCTTGCCAGCCCCAATCACAGCTCTTTCAAAGCTATTTATGTAATGCTTTTGAAAGCCTCCCTTTTTTCTGTTTATAAACTGTCTCTTCTTTCCCCACTCAGAACACATTGGGTTTCTACCCAGATCTGTGACTTCTGCATTTGCAATTCCTAAGACCCCCAAGTAAAACTTTTGTTTGCCTTACCCTGGATGGTGTGGTTCAGTAGATTGAGCACCAGACTGCAGGACTGCAAACCGAAAGGCTGCCTCCCAGTCTGATTCCTGTCAGGGCAAACGCCTGGGTTGTCAGCTGGGTCCCCAGTAGGGGGCAGTCGAGAGGCAACCCAACAGTGCATCTCTCAAAAAACCCCAACTCTTGTTTGCTTTACAGTTCTTAGTCAAAACTGATTGACACCGACAGAAGACATAATAAGATGAATCAGTAGAAGATATGGAATGCTGGGCAGTGGTATTATGGGAAAAAGAACAAGGAGTGGGGAGAATGGAATACAGGGAAGGAATAAGGGAATATATGCAGGTATTAAAGGGAAGATCATTCTAAGAGTGTAATTTCCTTTGAATTTGCCTGCCTTATTGTATTTTGCCAATTTGATAATGATGGAGAATGGGACATAAATTTTCAAGTTCTAATTAATTTATTGTAGAAATGTTGACTGTCAGTGACCTGCTGTTTTTCCTGGTCTTTTTCACAATTCCCTTTAGCTCATTTTGAGGTTTTTTTTACCCACAGGTGTTGACAGATAATATAGATGAGGTCAGTGCTGAAAACTAGCGGTTATCACATCTCCTACTGGGCTGAGAGAGGAAGGGCTGGGAAGTTGACCAGGAAAAGAGATCCGATTTTAGTGCTTCCCTGTATAAAAGTTCTGCTTGTTGCAAATCTGGGCATATGAAGATAGGCTCCCAGGACTGTACTGAATGCCGGAGACAGCAGGGAAAAAAAAACCTTAAAAAGAAAACCATAACAAAATAGTAACCCTATTCCTTTTATTTCATAGATTTTTAAAATTAAATGGATGTAGTAGTAATTAACAGTTATACAATATTTCTAGTATGACTTTAAATTATGGATACCTAAGGGAAACGTTCTAAAACTTCTACTTTCCTCACATGAACTCCAATTTCAAAAAGGGTCCTCCCGTTCTGACTGTACGGTTACACACGTGTTGGGGTGGGTGCGGAGGGACCCCGGGTTTCCACCGGGAGGCCAAGGCCCTGTTCTAAAAGTGCCTTGCAAAGTGAGAAGTGTGCTCAACAAGCATCCAGCACCGCCATTGCTCACCAGGTGCATTGTTGCTCCTTTTAGAAATTCAGCCAGTATTCAGTGGCTTTAAGAAACACGTGCTCATCGCTAATGAAAGCTACACTTTGGCTTTAAGAAAAGTTGTTTCTTCCTCTTTGTGAACTGGCAGCTACTTAAACTCTGTGCCTCAGTTCCCTCATCTGGAAAGTGAGGATAAAACAGTGCTTCCTGTATTCGCCCACGTTTTGTGTGCATTACATGTGGAATTATTATACCCACGGCACGTCATCATTATACCCATGTATAATGCGCATCCTTGGTTTTCCCTCACAAACTTGGGCAAAACCGTGTGCATTACACACGGCAAATATGGTGCCTTTGTAACTGCATAACGACGGATGTTAATTTATTGTGGTAGTTATTTCACAATATATACAAATATGAATTAGTATGTCCTACACCTGAAACTAATATAATGTAATATGACAATTGTACCTCAATTAAAAAACAAACAACCCTGCTTTATAGGGTTAAAGTGAGATGGTGCCTCGGGCTCCATTGAAAAAGAACAGTGCCTAGCACAAAATCACTAAAAGTCGCTGACAGTTATAATTAAGTTTGCAAAAACATCTACAGCGGAGGGGACCTCAGAGTTCTCCTGTTGAGGACTTCCCCACCGACGTCCCTACGGACGCCACTGTAAAGTTTGGGGGTGACTGTGAGGCATCCCTACGGACACCACTGTGAAGTTTGGGGGTGACTGTGAGAACCCGCTACCTCGCTTTACTGGTTTGGTCGTCTCTTGGGCATTTATTAAACCCTCACTCTCTCGTCGGTCGTGTGCCAGGACATTAGTTAGTTGACTTTCATCCAGTGCTTGCTTTTTCACCGACGGTCACAGCCTTGTCACAACTCAAGCAGATGCCAGGGCTTCCGAAAAGTGACTGTCAGCACCCACACTGAGGAGACCTCGAGGGCGCCCCGGTCCGTCTGGTGGGAAGGCCACGCGGGCCGGGAGTCGGCGCCGGGCGGCGAGGGCGGCAGCTCGGGCCGCTGCCTGTGGATCGGCGTCCAGAACACGCCGGGCGTGGTTTCCAGCCGGTGGCCGAAGACGCGGCAGGAACTGCTTTCTTTTTGAGTGAATCACGTGCTTAAACGTGAAGGTGGCGGCGGCTGGCGCGCCCTGCCCCCGGGGCCGAATCCGGCCTCACCTGCTGCAGGTGTCCCCGGGGAGTCCGGCGGCGCCGCCACCCCGCTCCGCGCGCCGCCCCGAGCCCCGGGCCGGTGGCTCAGACGCCGGCGCCGGGAGGTTGGACGCCCGGGGGCCCCGGTGGCCGCGGGCCGCGGGCGGGGAGAGGCCGCGCGCCCTCCCGGAACTGGCGGGCGCGGCGGGGCGGGCGCCGTGGCGGCGGGGCCATGGAGGTCCTTCCCGCGGGCGGCGGCCGAGTCCCGCAGGCAGAGCCAGAGGCGAGGCCGGAGGACGTCGCGGAGGAAGCGGTTCCTGAAGAGCCCCGGGCCCCGTGCCCGCGGGGGGCGCCCCCGGCGGGGCCGCGGCTGTGCTCCCGGGATTCCGGGGAAGGCGAAGAGGACCCGGAGCTCGCCGAGCCCTGCGGCGGTCGGACGAGCCGCACGGCGTCCCTGGTGAGCGGGCTGCTCACCGAGCTGTACCGCTGCACCGAGGAAGAGGAGGGGGCCGCCAGGGGCGGAGGGCCCGCGGCCCGGGACAGCCCGGACAGCTCCACCGAGGCCTCGGGCTCGGACGCGGTTCTGGGCGGGCGCGGCGGGGCGGGCGGCTCCGCGGAGCTGCAGGAGCTGCAGGAGCGGCCGAGCCAGCGGCACCAGAGGCAGTACCTGCAGCAGAAAGGTGAGCGCCCGGAGCGGAGTCCGGAGGAGGGGGCGCCGGGGGCGCGGGGCCCGGGCCCTGCGGGGTCTGCCCGGGCTGCCGCGCTCACCTGTGCGCGCCAGGGCTGAATGGACCAGGGCACGGACACCGAATTGGTAGGGTCTCCTTCGGTCTGTCGCTGGTGTCCACAGGGTCACGGATTCCTGAGTGGACGTATTTCTCGTCTCCCCCAGCCCCTTCCGACAGTTGAGTGGAGCACATCAGTGGTTGGCGCGGTGGCGGCGGGTCCCTACTCCCCCCCATCCCATGTGTTTGTGGGGTCTCAGAATGGCGAGAAAGTCGAATTTCTAATTTCTCCAGAACAGCTGTGAGGACAGGTTTGGAGTTTCTAATATATGAAGTCCCAGAGGGCGCCGGGAGAAGAGAGGTGCCTTGGGGCTTTAAAATACAATAAAATAATAAAATCAATACAGTAATCCGCCTCCCTGGTCACACTAGTTGGATAGCGTTTAACTAGTGGGGCAGAATAATGCGGTTTCTAAGCAGGACGTGAGAATCCCATTTTTGCCAAACCTCTGGTTTCGAGCAGCTCACTGGATGGCGTTTTTATTAGTGGAGGGCCCTGGAGTGCTGGCATCAGCACGGAATTCAGCCGCTGGCGGGGACCTTGTGTTGGAGAGGTCATCCGAAAATGGCCTTGGTTTTCAGGGGGAGAGGCTAATTGAGTGTTTCTCTTGTTACCAGACTCGGTGCTGTGCCCAAATTGAGATTACCCCCTCGCCCTCAACTGTTCATAAAGAGCTTTTCTTTCTGGAACGAACACAATTATTGCAGTTGTCTTTTGAAAATAAGTATATCAAGGCCTTGATTTACAAAATGAAGTGAGGTGTGGAAAACAGATGCTAAACCACGTTTTTCCCATTAAAGTTCTTGTGCTAAATAACCGGGGGAGAGGGGAAAGAGAATGCATACTATAGAATGACATTCTGTTTCTTCTAATTGAAAAATCAGACTAGCTGTTGCCAGAAAACAAAACAAAACAAAAAAAACTAACCAGGAAAGGAATACCTCTGTCTGCTTTATCAAATCTATGTAACAGTTTTCAGCTTCCTCTCGGCTTCCTAGTGATGATTTTTCCCCCCAGCTGATTGTTACAAATGACTTCCACCTTCCTCCTCCTTCCTGGGACTTCGCTGGAGTTGTGCCATTTCATTTTATACAATTATCTGGCTGTTCTCAGAATGTCTGTTTATGCCTGGAGTTCCGTAGGGCAATAGTTCTTCCACAATCCAACAAAATCACCTCCAAAGAATTATGATTTGGCTTTCTGTTTTCACAAGGCTGGTCACTTTTCATTACAGAGCAAATTTGTAGGATTAGTAATTTCCTTTTGGAAGAGGGAATTTGGCAAACTGATGTTTAAGGAAGTGACGGTGTAGTTTTGCAAGTGGGTTTCAGATGCGTGACCCCTCAGTCATCATTCAGAAGGACTCTGCTTTGCTCAAGTTTCAGTCTCACTGCACGGTCAGGTGCCTGGTAATTTTTTTCTCGCGGTCGACCCTATTAGAATGAACAAGGTGCCATATTATAACAGCTGTCTGCTTTGTTTACAGCTTATTAGGTTACCTGATTTTTTTTTTCAGGGTCAGAAAAATCTCTCAGCACAATACCTAGTAGGAGTCTCACACAATGCAGATAACTTGTATATTATTAATTTACTCTCTTTCCTGTTAGAGAGATTGCTGTAGCATCCATGTAGCTGCTATCGTTACATATTTAGCACGTGTGGGCCCTTTATTTATCAGAGGCACCAACATGGTTTCTCAGGAAATCTAAGCTCTGGTCTCAGTGTTTTCCTTAAGGGATGGACTTTGGAGTCAGAACGCTTGAGTGGATATCCTGCCACTGTTCCTTACTAACTGTGCGACCTCAGGCAAGAGGTTTCACCTGAGTCCTTGTCCTCACCTGTACGTAGGGATCATAACAATACCTGCCTCAGAAGGTTGTAGTGAGAATTATGTGAGTTAACGTGTGTGAAGTGCCCAAATTCCTTAGAGAGGAAATTGGCCACTGTTTGTCATTTGATGATCTCATTTTCCTATTTATTTAACACTCTGTTAGGAGCTGTAGCTCCTGCCGTAAGGCAAAGATAAGACTTTATGCCTGACTTCAGAATGCTTATATACCAGCAAATCTCCAAACTTGGAAGGTTTTTCCCGTACAGGACAATATGTGTAATTCAGAGACCCACAGAGCTGTAGGTACCTTAAGAGTCACCGACAGTGACTCCTGTGGAAGGAAGTATAATTTAAATGCAAGATGATGATATTCTTACCCTGAGGACAGTTTTTAAACATTCAGAGGGAGGACATTTGCTTTCTCTGAAGGAATCTAAGAGTGAAGACCCTCAGATCTCCTCTGGCAGCTTGTTCTCATGTTTGATCATCCTTTTTGAACCCAAAGAGTTTCATTTAACCTAAGTAACCTCTTACTTCCCATTATATCCCATCGTGTTTGAACTCAGGGTGAGAGAAATAACTGGTCTTTGTTCTCATCTTCACAGACATTCCTTAATCTTATTTAAGTCCTATTTATATTAACATTTATAACAACCATTAACAGTTGTTTCTCAGAATAATCTTGCATTCTAAGCATAATTTGAGACTTGGAGCACTACCTTGCCTAAGATCACACAGGTGGTTGGTCAGTCCAAAGGAAGTTCTTGTTAACTCAAGGTCAAACGGCATTTTCCAAATGATGTGGTCAGCTACGGCAACCACTAAAGCACCCTCCTGCACTTCTCTTAAACAAGACCCAAACACTCCTTCCTTTCACCTCTGAAGTAATTTCATTCCTTTTGAACATTTCTTTTGTTCTCTTCTGGTCCTCTCTGGTTTCTCCAAATCGTTTACAACTTGAGTAGATCCAGACTCCATACAGGATCCCTAATGAGGGCCTAGCCAATGGCAGCCTGCCTTCCACTCACTGCGGTGACTCATGATAACATCCAGTGTGGCAGATGAAACTCCCGAATTGTGATGACTGTTCATGTAAAGACTGTTGACATTTCTGATTCCAATCTTTTCTTACTTATAGAAGACGGCTGTTGAGAATACTAGCATTATGAATGCAGAACTATTTTTAATTTATCTGTTTAAAGGAAATGTATTTTCTACATATTTTAAAAATTACTGAGTCTCTAAGTTACCTAACAGTCAGGGTATTGGAAGACTGTGTATTTAAAACAAAACCAGTATGTTCACATTTGTCTGCCTTAGAAAATGTGGTAGTATTATTTACTTTTAACTGATAATTTATAAGCAAAGGTGAATACTTTTAAAAATAGTTGTTATCAGCTATTAGGATTGTCTTTGATGTAACAGATTCAAACGATTCTTTTCTTGTAGCTTTGCCTCTGAACACATTAATGATACAAAATGTGTATTCCAGTTTTTAATCAATAAGAGGCAACTTTGCAACCAGAGCTAAATATGGTAAAAGTAAAAGTCTTGCTTACATGTTACAGGATCAAATTGATTTTAGAGTATTTGTCTCATGGACAGAGAGGAAATGGATGAGTGACTAAGTTGATCAGAGCATCTTCACTAAGTACACATAGTCCTGGGTGAGCACTCAGAATTACTTGCTTTAAGTAGATGTTCTAGATCATTTATGTTAAACAATTAGTATCATGTTGGCACTTGTATTCCTCTCAGGGTGTTTATTGCTCTATTTACGATTTTCTTTTTTAATAGGCACTAATGAATTGAAGATGATCCTTCGAGAGCTTAAGAACAGGATTGGTATTCAGTCGGTGAAGTTACTCCGGCAGCTGAAGCAGAAGGATAGGCTTATGCATAAAGTCCAGAGGAACTGCGACATCGTGACCGCGTGCCTTCAGGCCGTGTCACAGAAGAGAAGTGAGTACTGGAGGGGGGTCCGCCCTGGTGTGGCCTGCGTGCAGCTGGGATGCTAGCGAGCTGAGGCCGTAGTTGCTGTGTTTCTGAATCTGTTGAAAAATTTTAAATGGAAAGTTACCCCCTCAGCATTAAGAACTATGAATAACTGGTACAGTTTTGGGTTGTTTTCCAGTTAAAATGTGTGTTACATGTCTAATGTTACAAATTTAGTTTTATTCTAGATTTGTAGTAGTGCTTCACTGTGTGACCTTGGTTATTTTTACATGATGCTAAATAATAACCGAAATCTTTATTTTAAAAACAGCATCAAATAGATACAACCTAAAAGGCATGCCTTTTTTTTCTTACTCTCTTTGTGTTAATAAGTGAATTAAAAATTAATTTGAAAGGAGGACACTCTTGTAACAGGATCTTACAACTCGCTCTGAAACCTGAAAAGGACAAAATATTTTAACAAGTAAACCCATCTAGTATGTAATCCATTTGTAACTAAGAGACGCATGGTTTGTTAATTGAGTTAAAAGTAGTTTAATTACTAATGCATGTCAAATACCAGATATAAAACCTTGTGAATTAATTTTATAATTCTCCATGCAATAGTTTTATGTTTTATTCTGCTAACATTTCCCTATTTTTGTTTTGTATTCTTCATTAACATGCAGCATGGCAGAACAGTATGTTCAGGTATGGTAAACATAGGCGCCAATGAAGTCTTTTGCTAAAACGCCTGTGGCAGCTTTTCAGGTGCATGTGCAAGTTGCCTCTTCTTGTTCCCTTACTGTCACATTTTATATGTAAGGTGACGCCTCCTAGAGTTTTTCTTTTAAATTCCGGATTCAGATGTATTTATATTGATAAAAGCATTCTCAGGGCTTGGTTAGTTTCAGATAACATTAATGACTTCAATTCTAGTCTTATGTTTATTATTTTAAAAAAAGTGATGTGTTTTCTTCCTTCTCTTTTATTATAACACTGTTATCTTCAAATTATTATTCTTGCTAGTTACTAAATAAGGTGTCAATATAATGGGTGTTAAATATGATGCTGCTCCTCTAGCACACTGACCCGATGGCCCGTAAAGAAGGGGGACTATGATCGAGTAGACTGTTTTCAAAGGGAGTTTTCTCCAGAGCCAGTCGTCTGAGATGGCTACGGAAGGAGGGTGTAGATGTAGCTATAGATGTGTGTATATCTATTCATAAAAACTGGCCTCCATTATAAGCACTTCACATTTTCTTCATGGACTCTGATTGATTCACAAGGGCCCAGTAAACATGTTATTTTCTTCTTTTAAGGAACCTTGATTTTGATTTTTCCCTTTTCAGCTCTGTTTTCACCTACCCATTGTTATTGTTTGTACCAGAAGTGAAAAGCAGAAAGAGGTGACTGTGTGGAGTTTGCAGGTGTGGGAAAGCGTAAAGGGGCGCAAAGCCAGTGTCAGGAGACGGAGGAGAGTGCCAGGCTAGCCTAGGATCCTGGGCGAATAACTACCAGGGACTGATAATCATTTAGAATTTGAACTTATTTGCCTGATGAAAGGACCCACATTTATGTCTTTTTAGAAAAATGTGTCCACAAGCACCAATTTAATTTGTCAATTGGTGAATGCATGCTTCCCATGTATTTAGGTGAAGCAGACTCCATCCAGCGCAGTCCGTATATTGTGGATGAAATGAACAAATTCACATGGACTGCAGAAGTTCTGTGGAGAAAAAGGGATGGTATAGCCACTGTCAGAGAGAGAGCACCCCGACCCTTGCCTGGACAGGCTTTTATTGCTTTCTAATAGCATACATCAAAGAAGGTTCTCATTCATTATACTCGGGTTTGCTTTGGGTGACTACTTTTTACAACTAAGAAAGGAAAGGATGTTGCTGATTACTTCTTACCGATTAACAAAGAAACAATGTTGCAAATACAAGGGACCAACAAGGGTGATTGGTCTGGTTACACTCTGTCCTTGGGAGAATTAGCACAGACTTTAGGAGGTTACTTTAAAGATATGCAGCAAACATTTGGTGCTTCAACTCAGGGTGAAGGAGTTTTAGCAAAAGCAAGCCTAAAAGCAGCTTAGGTATAATGCAGGCCTGGTTTCCCATGGGAAAGCCAATTTGTGGGTCTGGCTCCTGTGAGCTGACTCGTGCCTGCCGGTTTTCTGATAGGGCTGGGCTACATTTGCCATTGCCAAGCAGACTGGGTCTGTATATTTAGGATTTGTTTCTTTAATGCTAGACAGGGGTTTGTACTTCAGACAACATGAGGTTAGTGACTCTTTTCCTAGAGAGTTCAATTCTCAGCTTGGTCCTAAGACTCTATTAAATCAAACATTGTATTTTTGTTAAGAAATGATGGTGCATCAAAATGATATTTTTCATCATATGGTACTGTTTGATGATGTAGGTAGACAGAAATTTGAGTAGGTAGGGTTTTTTTAATCCCTTATAGATCTCCAGAGGTTAGATGATTTGTGAATTAAATGCCTGATTCTAGTAGTTGTATTTTTTGCCTTTTTCCTCAAGGAAAAGGCAAAAGGTTAACCAATAACATACATTCAATTAGAGTTCTAAAGAACTGATATCTCACTATTCCATTGACTTTCATTTTTAGCAGTGATTGGCAGTGGTGTATTCAAATACAGCAAACCCATGCAAAAATCCAGACAGCCTTTATTTTTCCCACATGGGTTCAAAGCTTACAGATCTTTTCATAGCTGACTTCCCCCTTTCAGAACGTGCTGTGGAATAAAACTATTTTATTAAAGTGGGTTATTTCCTGTTGATACACCCAGGGAGATATAATAATTTTGAAATAAGAATACTAAGTTCATATGTATTATGAACCAAAATGACTAGATCATTTTTATCTCTAGCACAGGTACTGTAACTGCTTAGACTTTATGGTTTCCTAACCAAGCCTTATGGTAGAATTTCTTTATTTTAAAATGGGGGTAGGAACAAGAAGAGCAGGATCAGTATTTGCTTATGGAAGAGGAGATGTTCCCCTTGTATGTAACCATTCATCTTAGGATAATCATGGCGTAACCAATGTATTAATGTATTAATACATTGTATTAATGTATTAATACAATATAACGTATTAAGAATAAAATCAACGATAACAATGGCAGCAGCTCTAACTATTCATTACGTGCATTCTTTCTGCCAAAATGTTGGTTTTGTCTCTTATAGCAATTCCAAAAAGGTATGTATCATTTCGCACATTTTGTTAAGGCGCTGAGATTCAGAAAGCTTAATTTGCTAAGGTCACATACATAATAAATGGTTCAGCTGGAATTTGAACATAGATGTCTTAAAAGTCCACTCTTTTCACTATAAACTGATGTAAGAGGGTTCTACTTTTTTGTAGCAATTAGACTGATACTTCTGTAATATTATTGGAATATAGGTGGAACAAGAACTAATTTGTAACATACATAGGAGGTAATACAGTTTCAGGTTTATATATTCTGAGTATGAGTCTTTGAGATACATGTGCTATGAATACCTTCTCCACTTTTTTTATGGCTTGCATTTTCACTCTTTTCAGAGTGACATTGAATACAAGACAGTTCTTAGTTTTGTGAGGGGGCACCCAAATTATTTTCCGGAGGGTGGGCCCCTTGTAGTACAGGTTTCCCCACCAGGTGAATGTTCTAGGAACCCTTCTGTATCAGTGTAGCAGCTGGTGGTGTTGTGAGAGGCTGCGTTTGGCTTCAGGAAAATTTTTTTGAAGACTGCCTCAGTGTGTTTGCCCATTTTATGATGGGAGATTTACGAGCACACCTGCCCACAATGTGCTGAGTGTTCAGCAGTTTTTGACCAAAACCAGCATGACCCCTGTGTCCCACCCTCCCTATTCACCTGAGCTTGCCCTGAACAACTCTTTTTGTTTCCCCAATGAAAAACGTCCTCAAAAGGAAGTATTTTTGCCAATGTAGAAGAGGTGCAACAAAAAACAGCAGAAGCATTAAAAGGCATCCAAATTGATGAGTTGAAAAATTGTTTTGAGCAATGGAGAAAAATGTCTCGATAGGTGTATTGCATCAAGTGGAAAATACTTTGAAGGTGACTGAAGTTTGTGCAAGATTAAATACATAATTTTATAAGTATTGAATAAATTCTGTCTTTTGAGGGTCCCTCCTTGCACATAGTTCAATTTATTAGTCTTTTAGCGTTTGGCAGGGCTGGCTTCAGGGGCACGTGGCTGTGTAGTCACTCAGGGCCCTGTGCCCAGGAGGGCCCCACTCTTGGTTTCCTGCTCTCTGTTGCTTTCTTCAAGTTCTTAATAATTTTTGAATAAGAGTGTCCCACAAATTATGTAGCCAGTCCTGACCTTGTGGCTGGTACTTCTTCTACCCTGTTTAAGAAATCTTTTTTCAATACCCAACTGATGAAGAATTTCTTCCACATTATTTTCTTTAAAAAATATTTTATTTATTCACTTTAGACAGAGGGAAAGGGAGGGAGAAAGAGAGGGAGGGAAACATCAACGTGTGGTTGCCTCTCGCGTGCCCCCAACTGAGGACCTGACCTGGCCTACAACCTAGGTGTGTGCCCTGACCAGGAATCAAACTGGTGACCCTTTGGTTCGCAGGCTGGTGCTCAATCCATTGAGCCACACCAGCCAGGGTCTATTATTTTGAAGCTTTATTCTTTTGTTTTCATATCCGGATCTATATCCACCCAGAACTGATTCACGGTGTGACGTGAGAGCACCCTTTACCACTGCCCCCTGGTGCTGTGGTCGTATAAAGGCAGGTGTGTGGCATGCGTGGGTCTCTTCTCGGGCCCTTACTTTGTCTTATTTGTCTTTCCTCGAGCCAATGCAACACTGTCTTACTTATTTCACTTTCTAATAAGTCTTAATATTTGATAGTGTGGGTTCTTACACCTAGTTCTTCTTCAAGGTTTTTGGGTTGTTGGCTTATGGGAGGATAAGTGATAGCTTGACAATGTTGATCTTCCAATCTATAAATACGGTGTTTTTAATTTTATTTGAAT